CCCCAAAACAATGTCAAGGCACAAACTCTCACATTGCAACCAATATTGCAACTGTGTTACAAGGATGTTGCATATACTTGGAAGAACATGAAGCCAGGGAATGGATGTCCAATAGTACAAGTTATACATGAATTTACCTCCAAGGCTTTGATCAAGTCTTCCCTTGTATGAGACGCGGATATGCATATACGTGCCCTTGCCAACAGTAGCGGGGTTGCTGGAAATGCTACTGTCACAACAGCTACCTGTAACAGCACCATTTATTCAGGGTAATTTAAGTTGACTTAGGAGCAACAGAAAACTATAACCATAGCAGACAACTGTGGGGGCACTTGGACTCACATTCTGCTTGAGGCACTCCCGTGAGAAGGCAGGAATTTTGGCTGGGTTGTAAAGCATAATTGGCATTACCGGAGAGTCATTATCCCCCAAAACCTCAAAACCCATTTTTTGTAGTTCTGACCTGAAAAAGTTGCTATTCTCCCGTATCCGTGCAAGTTTTTGGGCACCTATAAGGAAACAAAATTTTTTTCAGTTATCGTCTATAGAGAAGAAGCATTAAAGGCTAAAGACATTTGCAGAATATCTACTAAAAACAAGACATACCAAAGAAAACAGAAGAAAACAAAAACAAAGAGAAATTGAGGAGGCAGAAACAAGTATCTATCAGCACCTCTATTGGAACCATCCTCTCCAAGAAGGACCTTTATGGCGCATATTATTTGTTGGGCTGCTGGTGGTGATATTGAAGTTGCATAAAGATGAGCAGGGCAAGTGTACTTCAAGTATTGTATAAGCTCCTGGACATAACAGCATTGACCACGTTAAATTCAATAAGGAGCTCATGATGTCTTTTAAATAACTCTGCAAAGACGCACCATGTAAATAAAAAGATGGCATAACTGAGGCATTGCAAAGTGTTTGTTATGAAGAGAATATAAAAACTCAATACATGGTAATTTGTCTAACGGCTAAGAATAAAAAAACTCAATTTATCATGCAACAGAGAAAGCCTTCTGCCAAAATCAACAAATGCTTTTCAACTAAGAGTTAAAAAGTGTGTTCAGTCAGGTTGATCATCCAGAAATACCACTTAAGTAAAAGATACCGACAGCCAACCAGTCATATAGATTATGCAGAATTGAGTCTCTCCTATTTCAAAGAATGCCTTTTCCACATTGAGAATCTGGCTAGATCACACCATGCACTGATCAACAAATTCAAAGTATAAGGAAAGTTCAAAAAACAAACCTTAGATCCTGAAATATAGCCACCACATGATCCAAATGATTTTGTAAATGTTCCCATCATGATATCTACATCAGCTGTATTGACTCCTAAGAGCTCACAAACACCTCTTCCAGTTTTCCCTACCGCTCCAATGCTGTGGGCCTCATCCAAATATGTATATGCCTAAGACAAGAAAGGAAGTTGCTGAGAATAAATACATAATATCCAAACTGCTCAGTAATAGTTTAGTAAGGTAGGTCCCCATTAATTAGAAAAGTAATAGTCCGTTAAAGGATGCTTCACAAAATGTTGATTTTATTCTCTGTTGTGACGAATGACCTTTAATATGCGTGCGTCTCTAAGTTTTAGACAAACCCATAAGAATTATATTTATCCTGTGAAAAATGAAATATACTGCATAGAACTACAAGACCAGACAACATATATTGAAGTGAAAGCTACCAAGGTGCAACCTTATATTTTTTGCAGATTGCTATAATCTCAGGAAGTTTGCAAAGCTCCCCTTCCATGCTGTATATCCCCTCCACAATGACAATTATCTTCTTCCAGGGTCTGCGGGTCCTAGGCTGACCCTCTGCGATTTTTTCTCTCAAAACTTCCTCTAAATGAGCAGGAGCTGTAAATAACGCAACAAGTAGATATAAGGTTGCAACTCCAACCTGAGCTTCGCATTTTTCTTTTAATTTTAATGAGTAAAACTCTATTCATGTTAGAAGCAACATATTGGAAATGCATATCCGATTAACAGCCCTTTCATTCGAGTAATTAAATAAATCCATAACACGGATTAGGAAAACGGGCAAATAACCGAAAAACCTGTCATTTACTTGCAAAACTCCTGCCTAACCCCACAGTCTTTGCAATTAAATATAAACTAACACTTCCTCAGTGTGCTCTCTTTGTATAAAAATATACACCATCATTTAAAACCTGAAATGTAGAATTTGATGCCGAGAACAAATCCTCAGCATCCACGCTATACAGTATAGTAACTAAAGAACTTACTATTGTGTTGGAAAACACAAACTCTAGCTCCAGATCCTCTTGCGCCATTGACAATGGAGTTGTGGTTCAAAGAATCACTAACAATCAAGCCTCCCTGTAAAGTCAAATGGCACATATTCAGATAAGGAATGTAAACACAAAATTAGAAGTCATACATTTGAGAAAAGATGCAAACCTTCCCCATCAGAACAGGAAGGATAGCAGAGTTTGTAACATAACCCATTCCGAAAACTATAGCAGCAGGTTTCCCAACAAAATTTGCAACACACTCTTCCAGCTCATTATGCAAATCCGTGGTGCCTGGTGATAGAAGCGAATCATGGTAAATTCATTTAGAAAAATAGGTCAAACAATTTTTCCTTGCAAAGTAGCATTAGTATACCAACCGCCATCAACTCGGCTACTACAGGTACTGGGAGAATATTTTTTCAACGTCTCAATAGCGCGAGGTGTGCAGTATTCATCAGATGCAGCAAAGCCAAGGTAATTGTAAGATCCCAAGTTAAGGCATCTACTGGTTTTTTTGGTAGTCTGCATCAGCCGAGTTACACAATGAGAATATAAATCAAGAAAACATAACAAAAGGCGTGAAATATACATGAAATTGCGAAATTGGAGGAAATTTGTAATCGTTACTTGAGTGTTTTGTTGTAGTCATTGGAGTAGCGTTCAACCACATCAAACCAAGCATCAGGAGCACTTGCAATAGGCCTATTGAAACAGTCCTGACCAGTCAAAACTTTAAAAAATTAACCAGAATTATCAATAATTATGTTTATGGGACTCCATGGAATTCATGCTTAATTGCAGGACCAGCTGCATCCATTTCATACAGCTGAAGAAATATAACACAATCAAATGAAAAACAAAATACCTGAATTCGAAGATAAAGCCGGCGTATATAGAAATCTTCAAGTCCTAAACAGATTGGAGCATAACCCTGATTTTTGCAACAAAACAATGCCTTTTTAAACATAAAATTACAGGAAAAACTAAACAATAGGAACAAAATTATGTACAATGATTACGGAACCTGCAAATTACTAGCACTCCACCAGTCGATGATTTTGCGGAAGAAATCTCTGACTTGGCCGAAAACGAAGAGCAATCCATAGCTGAAGTACGTGGTTAACGCGGTTAAATAAGGGATAGCAATCATTTTCGCGGTGGGACGATTGTATGATCCGAAAGCTACGTCGTTTAAGCTGTTTGAAGCTTGGCGACGAGAACCGGATCGGGGAATCTGGGAGTTTCGGAGCTGTGAGTAGGAGTTTCTGAGGGTATGTAGTTCAGAGATGCGGTGTAGATCCGGTATTCGAGTCGGGTTGACCCGTTGGATGGGTCAGACTCGGATGGGGAAGACGATGAGAGGAGATGGAAGGAGGGTGGTGGTGAATAGTCGTCCAATCTTTTTCGGTGCCCCACTTTTTTTGTTTCAATTCATTGACCGCGTTGGCGCTGCCGAAGATTTCCGAGCCAACATCAAATTGGGAATATTTTACGCTTACCAGGTCATTAGAAACGGCGAATAATTTTCCCACCAAAATTTGACAACGAATATTATTTTAGTGGGAAATAAAGTTGAATGCGTTACAACTTAGAACTTGCTGGTGATGTAAAAAAAAAAACAAAACTTTAACATAAAACTTCTAATACTGTTCATTTTAAAGAAAAACTACACTTTTACACTAAAATGTCAATCATGGTACTATTTACTTTGCCCTTTATTTTGTCACTTTCATTAAAACTCAAAGTTTTCAAACTCTTTTCATTAGTTTTTCTAAAAAAAAACAAAAGGAAATCTCCATTTTCATTAAAATTAAAATGTTTCATGTGATATCATTGTACGTTAAATAAGACACTATAATAGTTTTGTTTAAAGAGAACATATTATTGTTTTGAACGTAATAACTTAGTCTATATTGTTCTAAGTTAAAATTCATTGTATTGTTGTCACTTTTGATGATCCAATTGGTAAGTAAATCTTTGTTTGTCTTTCAAAATGGTCAATGAGTTCATTTCTAGCTCAACATAAGCCAATTTGATGTTATGTAGAACAATGACAAATATCTAACGATATATTTGTGCATAAAAGTGAACAAGAGTCGCATAATTGTTGCTAAGAGTCATAATTTGACAAAAAAATGACTCATAAGAATAAAAGAAAACTAATTAACAGAGCTTGAAAACTTTGTATTTTAATAAAAAAGACAAAAATGTGTTGTAAGTGAATAGTACAAATAATGACTTTTTAAAGTAAAAATATCATTTTCGTTAAAAATAAACAAGTACCATAAGTGTTTCGTTAAAACTCCTGAAGAATAAAGGAAACAGCAATAGATTTCTTCAAATTGGGTAAAAATAGGTTTTGGGGAGGATTTGGTATGAGGTAGGAGCATAACGAGTGATTACGAACATTATAATGGATGTGGTTTAAATTTTTGAATAATATTATTCGTGCACTTGCTTTCAGACAATATCAAAAAATTTCCTTATGTATTTTAGAAAATTACTAAGTGACTTAAATAAATACAAATATGACGCAATTTGCTAACAAACAAAACCCTAAAAAAGTAAGATTAAAACCGAGGGAAAATTCTTGGTGCCGCAGGCGGCAGACCTCTCGTACGAATTGGGATCCCCTCGACAACTCTTTGTGGCGTTTCAAAACCCTAAACTTACCACCCAATACCAAGAGCTCCAATCTCTCTCCTTGTTAACCTCTCACTAAAGCTCACTCACCCATGGCTGAGACTAAGGACCAAGGCGAACTCACATTTCCCGCGAAGCGCAAACCCGATCTCAGCTGCGGCGACCAGCCCGACTGCCCCAACAAAACCCAGAAGCTTGAAGTTCCCGATCACCGTCCGTTGGCTGCCGAGCCACAAACTCAAAACCCAGAAAATTTCCACAACAATTCCTCCGCTGGCGAAGAGAAAATCTATAAGTTTGAAGCCAGTGCTGACCTCGAAGACGAAGACGAGGAAGAGTACGACGCAGAAAACGACTGTGAAAAGTCTAATGGGAAGGCGGAGGTGAATCCCAAGGGGAAGGGGATTATGAGAGATGACAAGGGCAAAGGGAAACTGGTAGAAGAAGATGACGACGACAGCGACGATGATTCGAGCGACGGCGGAAGCGAATTTGAAGACGGAGACAGTGATTTGTCGGATGATCCTCTTGCGGAGGTCGATTTGGATAACATTCTTCCTTCGAGGACTCGAAGACGGCAGGTGCAGCCAGGGGTTTACATTGCTAATGACATTGGAAACGAAGAAGAAGATGACAGTGATGACAGCGATGATTGATTTGAGGAGGAAGGTCAGTAAAACCACCAAAATTAGCAGGCAAAAATTGACATTATGTTTTGCAAAATAGTATTAGTAGCAAGTGATTCGATGAGGTTATGCTAATTAGTTGCTCTATGCGAACACATTGCAGCTAAGGCTGTGAATACTTTATGTAATTCGATCTAAGTATTTAGTCATTGGATTCTATCATTCCGTCGGTATTATCCTCCTTCAACCTCAGTTTTGAAGTGTGTGTGCATATGTTTATGCTTTTTGTTAACATGGCAGAGTAGTGGCTACAAGCTGTAATTTTAGAATCATGTGGGAAAACTTGATCAAAACCCAAACTTTTTGTTAGGAAGACAAAAGTTTTGAGAGCGCAAACATGCCGAACTGTTGAAACAAAGACCTCGTCACTTATTTTGGGAAAGGGAATGTTCTTCAGGTTGACTAGGCTAAGCATAAATGTATCCCCCTTTCTGTAGTTTTAGTACCATCTCCTCTAGTCCATGACCCCCTATGGGGATTTCCAGGTGGTTAGTCTTACTAATTCCACAGGCATCATTAAGGTTTAAAGCTGGACTGTCTCGCTGAAGATTTTGCCTTGGCTAGAAATAGCGAGGTCACTTCAAGGAGAAAAAGGAGAGAAGATTCAGTAACCCTTAGCTCTAGTTAAGGAAGTGATTTATCAATTGGCCTTTTGAAGAACATCACTTGCCTATGCCAACGTAGCAGTTCTGAGCTAGGTCACTAGGTATGATGCTATGTGGGATTCTGTGATGTGGTACAGTCCAAATCACATTGTAGTTCTGAAGTTATCGTCATACAAGTGGATAATCTGTCATAGGGTATCCGTCTATTATTATTGATTGCTCCTTTTTCCAATCGCATGAAAATACCATTACTTGGAATGGTCCAATGGAGAATGGAGGAATGATTTTGATGTGATCCTCACCTATAGCATTTTGTTTCGTTTAAATCTGCTTAATTTGGCCGAATCTTAGTCTGTTTATATTGTCTGTAGATTATGAATTGTGTTGCCTATGTGGTCAGTCTGGATCTGGAAGACTTCAGTGTCGGTAAATATATGCATTGGTTATACCTAATCTTCTTTGCATATGGAAATTTTAGTACTTATCTGCAAGGCCGGTGATTGCTTTTTTAGTTTTCCAACCCCCAAATCATACTAGAGGTCAAGGATTATTTTTCTCCATTGTTTGTACCCATCTTTGTTTGACTATATGAGGAATCGAGGATCAAGTTCTATTGTCCCCTATATGTGGTGCCATCTGGAGACAGAGGGTTGTGACTTACCTGTAACACATGTTTTCCGCTCTGCGTTGGTCGTATAAATGTTGCTCTATTTCTTCTCCTCTTCCCTTGGCTGACACAACATATGGGTAACTGGAGATGACTATGTCTTAGATTTTACTGGTTGTTATGCACATATTTTGTGGAGTTGAGAGGTGCAAATTATATGGTCTATGCTGCCCCCCCTTTGTCTATCTATGCAGTTGATCTTTTCATCTTTATTGTTTCTCTCTTTTCCACTTTTCTTTTGGTCTATAAGACACTTTTCTTTTGGTCTATAAGATGATATTGAACTGAAATGATTTCCTTTTCCCATTTTGTTCTTCTTTTGCACACTCCCCATTTTGTTTTGGGATGTTAAAAGCCCTTGGCATGTTCAATCTTGGAAGTTGGAAGCATCCTTGCCCCCAACTTGGGCTTTGGCCCATAAGTGGAGATCCTCTCACTCTGGTGGACCGAGAACTGAAAAGGCGTAAAGTAGATTCTGAGGACAGTTCCACTAGAGGACCCTTTTTCCTTCTTATTATTATTCTCTTAACCATTTCACTCTACAATCGAGCTTAATAAAATGACTTACATTGAACGGGTCATGGCCGTGTGTTATCACGGTGCAATAAAACACCAACGGGGAACTTGTTCTAGTGCTACGCACCATGTAGTGTGTTGCTTGTTTATAAAAAGCCAAAGGCAAGTCTGAATCCCCATATTCAACACCACCACAAAGATCACATGCATCGCATTAGCTAAAGAGTCAATTGGTCGTGCAGGTTTGTACTATGTATCATATTATATGTATCGAGTATGAAGTAGTATAATGTAGGGATCCAAAAAATCTGCACCTGGCTGGCCCATCTGTCGTCCCGCTAACTGACGTTATGAATTGAACTACCCTCCTCCATAGATTGCATTGCATGGCCCCCCATAGCCTTAGCCCTTGCCCCTTGCCCTACCTAGGTTTGTCAATTCTAATTGTTTTTCTTCCTTCGTCTTCCAAAAGGGGAAGGGAAGATGACGTCATCGTCATCGTCAACCTAGCTAACTATTAGCTAACAGTAACAAAAGTTATGTGGTCACTTAATTTCCCACTCTCTCTCTCTCTCTCTCTCTCTCTCTCTCTTTGTCTTGTTTATACAGATACCATGTAGTTTCGTCCGGGAGACGACGACTACGACGACCATGACCACCCATTCGTATTGTCTTGGTTTGCTAAGTTTGGATTACTTACTATCAAGCCACGAGGGTGGGGACAGACACTTCTAGCTAGTGTATCATTTGCTTGGACTCGGAGTTGGGAGTCTTGGGACCAAGTTTTATAATTTATGACAATTATACATAATATATTTGCCTTGCCTCTCTCGTCTCAGTCGCTTTCAGCCTACTTTCACCAAAGGTTCGAAAACGCAGTAGCAGCAAAACAACGGTGCACCTTCATTTTCATGCGTTATGATATCGCATGCCTTCTACACTCTCTAGCCCTCTACCCTCTACCCTCAATCTTTTTGTTCCCATTTCCTTTCTCGGATACCAAAATTTTGTACAACTATAGAGCACGGTACACAGACATCCGATAAATTCTTACGTCCATCCGGAGGCACGTATAGTATAGGGCACCAAAGGGTGGGACCGAAATATAAGGATTTGACGTTTTGTGTGCGCTATCTGGTGGTCACAAAATACAATCATCCCCAACACACACATTCCCGTAACTAAAACTAATTACCCGCAGTAAATAAGCGTGATTTGAAACTTTGAATTAGGTAGTTGTGTAAACTTGACGAACCTCCCATCACATGGGTGCAATACTAGTCAATAATTGAGGCAGCATCTATATAGAGAGGAAGATGGAAGAAATGATGATGACATGTGTTAAAAATCATATATATATGACTTTGGTGGCTTTCAGCTTGTTGAATTATGTAAGCCCCAAGTCCTTGTAATTATATGGGAGTGGGGCTACAATTATATTTAATTATGCCCCTCTTGGCCTAACCACTCCCGGCTTTTGAATGCAAATTCCGATCCTGTGATTGGATGATTGCATTAAACAAAATTCATGGTTGTATTACGTATTAGTTGGCAGTGGTAACTACAGTAGTAGGCTTATGCCAGACAAATATTGCCAGCCTAGAAACTACTCTCAATAATTATATAACCAAAACAAGGCCTTTTCATTTTAATTTATATTTTAATTTGAATTTGAATTTGTTCCACTCTCAACCAAGTTAAAGTGATCTTTGCTTCCTCGGCGGCTTTGGTAATAAAAGTCATGCAGGCGGCCAAGTCTTCAGACCTTGTTCGCGTGGTGGGTATATTTACTATTTAGTAGGGAAAATTATCTTCTTCTCACTTCTTGGTTTGTTTTTTAATCAATCAATTATGCTTTGATTTACTCAATTTAGAGATAAAGATTTTCTTTTTTCTTTTTTTTTTCTTTTGAGAGGATCAGGATCTTCTGCATGTTTTTCTAGAAAAACTAATGAAAATGATATGAAAACTTTGACTTTTAACAATAAGGACAAAATAAAAGGTAAGCGAATAGTATCAGGATTGACTTTTTAGTGCAAAAATATAGTTTTCATTAAAATGAATAGTACCGGAAGCTTTTCGTTAAAGTTTCTGTTTTTCTAAGTCTTATATTATGCAAGGCTGCATGGTATTTTACCAAAAAAAATTATACAGAGCAGATCCTGGTTCGTTTTAAGAAGTATTTGAAGCAAATAAGAGTGAAAATCTTTATGCTGTTTATGTGTAATAAGTCATTTCATAAGCAAATAGATTAAGAGAGATCCTTCAGTGTGTAGAAAACATCAATAACTTGTATTATGATATTTAATATACTAGACCGTGTTCATTTTCTCAAGAATTAGGACCCGCCTTAGGAAATTGGCCAATAAAGTAGATATACGTGGCGGGCAAAAAGTCGCCAGTGCCAAAAGCAAAGGGTAACAATTAACAAGTCACAAAAGGGTAGGGTACATGGTGCCCACCACCACATGGCCATATCGAAGCTCCTCTTTCATCCCCATCCAAATTCCTAATCATCTTTGCTCTGTGGCTCTCTTACTTTCTTTCTAGCTCGCTTGGAAAAGTTTAACGGCAAGCAGATAAAATTGGGAAATCAAAGCACTAACACACAGTAGCACATCACCACTTGGCGTCAACATTTGACCGTCACTGTTCACAGTGGATACATAACATACATAAATAATTCAAACAATCATTGGAGATTTCTTAAAAAACACATGTCACGCGACATTTATCCCACCATCCACTATTTATATAACACTATACTCTACGACCTAGCTTCCATAATTCTCTCCCTGTATAGACCTATTCCCATGCTACTATTACTATACTTCCCTTGTCCTGATGCCATGAGATATTTTTCAATGTTTTCGGAATAGAGTGCGAAACATCACATGTTATTATAACAAAGTTTTTTTTCTTCTTAAGTATCCATTCAATTTGATAATATGTGGTATTTCGCATTATGTTTCGTGTACACTGAAAAATTCTCTCAAAAGACATTAAATAATAAGCAAGCTCATTGTATTTACAAATAATAAATTGTATGGTGCTAGCTAAAATGGACAGAGATCTCATCCGGATCTCCCCTACCAAATCCTAAGGATCCGGAGATCTGGACCCTTGAAATTTGATCAAATGACTACAATTATTATCACTTTTAGAATGGCCCCCTGTTTGTA